TCCCTGCAGGAGGGGCTCCCCCGAGAGGAGAGGGTGGAGGGGTGGTGGCTCCCCTGAGAGCTGGGCGGGCCTAGGGCGCCCTGGCAGCTGTCTGGACCGGGACCACCCACGCTGTGACCCAGACCACTGCTGGGGGGATGGGTGACGTGAGCCCCAATGCAGTCCAAGCAAGACGGCTGGCCTGCCCCGCCGAGAGCCACGGCCGCCTCTTAGGGGCTTCGAGCCCCCCCAAAAGCCAGGGGGGGTGTCCTTTTCCTGATCTGGTCACAGGAGAGTGACCCCGAGTGATGCCAGCGTGGGAGGCCGTCTGGGGCGACCCTGGGGCAGGGCAGGGAAGAGGCGTTGACTTGGGGCCATGACCCTGGGCTCTGCCGGGGTGAGCCCCTCCCCCTCTGGGCCTGTGTCCTTCCATTCGCGGGCTCGGGGTGACCGCCACGCTCAGAGGCCTGGCCACACAGCCTCCTGGACTCCAAGGAGCCATGAGGGAGACAAGGCCGGTTTCTGAGGGTTTGGACAGCAAGGACCAGAGAGGGTGGTCACACACCTAACAGCACACAGCACAAACTCCGCCCCCATCACCCGGCAGCCGTCTCCTGGCAGGTCGGCCGTGGGGCCCGTGGACGAGGCCTGCACACCCTGCCCACCCTCCTCCCAGCGGCCCTGGCACTGCCCCGAGGGCCCCATCGGGATGCAGACCCCTCAGTGCATCTTCAGGAAACTGATTCCCCCAAATCCACCCCTGAGGGGGACAGCCCCCCACTCCTCACTTCCCCCAACTCCTGGGAGCCATCTTCCTGGGCCAGGAGGGGGCAGGAATGAGGGGCCCTAGTGGTGGGTGGTCCGAGGCCTGTACCTGCCTCCCCTCCTTCTCCTGGGAGCTGCTGCCCCATCCCACCCCCAGGCGGAGAAGGGCCCCTCATTGGTCCCCAACCGCCCGCCCATCTCTCCTCTAGTGACGGGGCTGGGAGGAGCCATGGCCCCTGCTCAGGTGGGTGGAGGGGCACTCACCTGGGTGGGGTTGCGGAGCCTCCAGAAGGCGCCCTGCACCAGGGCACAGAAGACCAGGGCGAAGCACAGGAAGCCCTGGGAGAGGGGTGCACGT